ACCACCATTCCTCCGGCCTCTTCCTCTCGCCGTCGCCGCCACCATCACCTCGCTCTTTCCTCTTCCTCCACGCCTTCCATGTGTGCCGCTACCATCCCTCCTACCCCCATCCTCCTCCAGCGCCTTCAACCACCACCATCCTCCTATCTCCAGCCGCTGCCGTCCTACGGTCACAATCCTCCGGCATCGTTGCCACCATCCCCCGTCGCTGTACCGCCATTCTCCACCAAACCTCTCTCCCGGTGAGTTTTTAATTTCCAGGTCTGACTTTTGATTTCCATATTTGATTTTTGTACCACTGCACTTAAACTCATAATATGGTATATGTACCAGTGCACTGGTAGCGATACCACTGCACTAGTAGCGATATCACTGCACAGGTACTAATGGCAGATGTGAGTATTAGTCCAGTGGTACAAATACCAGTGCACTGGTACAAATGTCAGATGTGAGTATTAGTGCAATGGTACAAATACCAATGCAATGGTACAAATACCAGTGCAGTCGTACAACATATCAGTGTAATAGTACATTTTTTTAATGTAGTTGTATATTTTTGCAGGTGGTCGGAGAGTCTGTCGGCTGGATTTCACCGGCGAAGTGTGGCGGTCGGAGGCTAATTGGAAAAGAAAAATCAAAGAGAGAGAGAAAATTGTATTTAGTGTAGGTTTAAATTTTTAAAAAGTGCCAAAGTTAATATAGCCTAGTGGGGAAACCGTTGGTTTGGTTGGCTCTGGATGTGAGAGGTCCTGAGTTCGATCCCCAGCGGCGCCGTTTGTGTGTTCCCGGAGGCATGCCTGAGTGCCGGGGACGAAGTCTCCCTATGTTGTGTCTTGTATAGGTGCTCCCCAGGTTTAGTAGATCATGCTGTCACCAAGTGGCATGTGGGGTTGAGATTCCTGGGTTATAAAAAAAAATTAAAAAAGTAAGTAATTAATAGGAGTTTCAATGAGTTTTAAATTTGATAAAGATGCATTAAATGACAGGGGTGTCATTTTTCAAACCCCTTTATGGGGTTAGCATGCTAACCGCTCCCTAGTCAGTGGTGTCGTTTTGGTCCATCTTCATGGTCAACGGATGATTTTCACAATCAACATACCGTGAACCACTCGGGCGTCAGTAACCTCTGAAAAGGCTCTGGAAGCTAACAATGTCACGTCCAAAGAGAAATTGTCACGGTCTTATGACCGTGACATTTTTATTCTGCCCGTGACATTGGACTGTTCTTCACTTTTTGGTGCTTTATCGACTCCAATAGTCCCAAAACTCGTCATCGACCTTCCCACACGTACTAGGACCAGAAATATGACAAAACAAGCACAATCAAGCGCAATCTACCTAAAAAATTAATTTCTTACATTGTGATACTTTTAAAATTTTACAAATAGGTCCAAGTTTTTAAAGTTTCTAGTCTATTTTAAGAAACATGTGGTATATTTTTTAGGTTTCTAATTTACTTTAAGAAACTTGTAGTATACTTTAATAAACTTGTGGTATGCTTTATGAAATTTATTACCTGCTTTAAGAAACTTGTGGTCTGCTTGATGAGGTTTCTGGTATGCTTTAAGGAACTTGTGGTCTGTTATAATAAATTGTGGAGTGCTTTAATAAATTTATAGTATGTTTTAATGAGCTTATGGTATGTTTATGAGGTTTCTAGTCTCCTTCATGAAACTTTTGGTGTGTTTTAATAAACTTGTAGTATGCTTTATAATCTTTCTGGTATTTATAAAGTGGTAAGGTTTTGGTATGCTTTATTAGTTTTCTTATATGATTTATGAATTACGTGGTGCGGTGAGGTGATAACACCTAAAATAGGTGTTATCTAGCCTCTATTCTCAAGGCATTTGTATGCCTAATCACTGTGTCCAAGCCACATATCGAGTTATTTATGCCCGTTTCCATTCCTATTTGCAAAACATGCATTTTGGCATAGGTATTCTTGATACAAAGCTTTTCGTAGGGGAACCGACCCCAATTTGTGGTATTTTATGCTTTCCCAAGTGTTTGTTATTGAATTCCAGGTCTTATATCCATTTGGGATTGATCGGGAATAGATTGGAGTTCATTAGGGCACGATTGGGAAGCATAAGAGCAAAAAGGGAGAAAAAGCACTGGTAACAGCCATAGGTCACTGCCCTTGACCAAGCCGTGACGATGATTGCGACCTCAGATCATGGCCCCGATTAGTGGCCACGAACGTCAGAAGGCGACCAAGAAGAACCAGAAAGTTCCTTAATCGAATCGCGGGCATGGCGTATTTTTACCGCGAAAAAGATTGCGCCTGGGACAAAAATATCACAGGCGCAATCTTATGAAGGAACCCGCGATCTCGGAGCTTAAAGACGGGACAAAAACGCGTCATTTCGAGCGATTCGAAGACGTTCCACTTGGTCACGTCCTGGTCACGACCGTGACCATCAGGTCATGCCCTAGAGGCCTTGACCGCCATCAGCTTTCTATAAATACCCCTTTTGTTGCACTTTTCAAGGGAGAGTCGCCTTGGGGTGAGAAAATTGGGGTTTTGGAGTGCTTTAGAGAGAGAAACGTCTTGAGAGAGCTTCATTGAAGATCCATTCAACCCTACGAGCAAGGAGAATGTGCAAGCAAGGAGAAGAAACTTGATTCCATCATTCCCCTTTTCTAGTTTGCATTTTCTTCTTCTCTCTAATGATTTGAATCTCTAATGGCTGTTTAGGGTAGATGAACCCTAGTTATAGGTTGTGAATGTTTGGGTTTTGAATGAATGAAAGTGTTTGTCTAGTTGATTTTAATGCCATTCTTTCCTAAATGATGATGCTTGGGTAAGTCACCATAATCTTCCCTCTTAGCCTACTTTATGCTACCGCGCTGCGTATGGAGTTCTAGGGTTAGACGGGTATGCGCCATCTGGCGAGTTTAGGTTATATGTGTGCTTGGGGGCCTATAGTGATCGAGTCGACCGAACCCTTGCTATAGGTAGCCTTCCTAGATGGAACCCGGGATGAAACCTAGGTGTGGACGGTGGATAGTGTCCATTGAAATGAGTCATAAGCTTAATTCCCCAGATACGATAGTCTAGATCGAGGTGACTGGAACATGGGTTTAAGGTAGGCGTACTCGGAGGAGTGTGGATAACCACGAAAGCCCACGTAAAAGAGCTCACTCACCACATTCGATTAACCCTACTTTACAACCTTATCTAGGAGGATTCTACCCTAGGCAACCATCTCATCTCTAGCGTTCTCCCAACGCTTTGGTTGGTTCTTTATTTTGCCTTAGGAGTAGGTTAATTTAGCTAAAACCTCTCACCAAACTTCCATCCCGATTAGATGGTAGTTCGGAGCGAAGTAATAATACACTTGGGGATCCCTTGGAATACGACCCAGCCACTTTACTCCAATCCTAGCTAGGTTATACTTGGCTTAGTTAGGATTGATTAGAGAGTGTGCTTCCACTATAAATTTAAAGCTCGATCGCGCATCGGAGCACGATCATGAGGTTCTTGTATGCTTTATAAGCTTTCTGACATGCTTCTTAGTATTTTGTGAAGCGGTTTGTTGTGTTTCCACTTTCTAGTCTGCATTTTCTCGTATGCTTCATGACACTTGTGGTGAGGCAAAATTAATGCACAACACCAGGCCCTTGTGTCTCTCCTCTCCCAATTTTTAATAATGACAAGCATGTACATATTTTTATAAACTTGTATTCATTGTGGTCAATCCCTTAAAATAAAATATATATATGGAAATGAGATATTTCCATTGATCTGCTTATAAAAAAAAAATTTCCATTGATTAGAGCTAGTATTTTTTTTATATATAGATTGATTAGAGCTAGTATTAACACCATACTAACACGCTATTAGCAGCCCTACTCTACCCAATTCTTTTAAGCACAATAATGAAATTTCCGTGTAATTAATATAGTTTAAAAGTTACCTTTTTCCCTTCAATTGGGATTCATGTACAAGTCCAATATGTGTTTTCTGTGAACTGGATTCATTAAGTATGCAAATGGACAAGTCCAACATGTGACCAATCTTGTGGGCTCAAGATAGGGTGAGTAAATATGAGTAATCAAATCTGGACCCTTTTTTTAAGTGGCTGCAGATCTAAGTGTGAAGATTTAAATGAATTTATTTTCCCTAGTTTTCTTGATTGGATCATATCTTCTTCATTCTAACTCGGATTTTTTTTTTTTCACTGATGGAACGAGTTCGTTGTGCTCTACAAAATTATATCAATTTTCAATATTTTTTGAGGAAAAAATTTCATACCTCTCGTTACCAACTTCATACCATATGGTATCTCCTTCATTATTTAGTCGTTTTCGGAAATTTTTGCATAGAAGGAACGATTTAATCATGATCTATTGGATTTCAAAATTTTCTGGGTGAAAAAATTTCATATCTCTCGTTACCAACTCCATACCATACTATACCACCCTGGTATGGGATGGTATTTTCATACCATATGGTATGCTGTTATTTAATACCAGTCAATACAATATGGTACAATCAATATCATATGATATAGACTGGTAATAACTGGCAAATTTTTTTTGTTCCAAAAAATATCAAAGTGTATATCATTTTGAAGAGCACAATTAATCTGATCTAACTGTGCAAAAAAAAAATCCAAGTTAAAACGAGTGAGAAATCGTCCGTTAAAGATTAATGGAAGGAAAATTAAAGGTTTTCGAGGAGAGAGAAGGAGGCGTTGATATCAAAGTGTATATCATTTTGAAGAGCACAATTAATCTGATCTAACTGTGCAAAAAAAAAAATCCAAGTTAAAACGAGTGAGAAATCGTCCGTTAAAGATTAATGGAAGGAAAATGAAAGGTTTTTCGAGGAGAGAGAAGGAGGCGTTGATGTGGCGGATTCTTATTGGGTTATACATGGGGTTACTCACCTGATAGTTACCGAAGGGATCCGGAGCCAACCTTGTGAGTTGTGAATGTGGTCTAGCGAATTCTTATTAGGTTATACACTGGGCCTTGTGAGTTGTGAATGTGGTCTAGTTGAGTTGTGAATGTGGTCTAGTTCTTCTCCGACGTTTCCCTTTCTCCTCCGTTTGACTATAATCAGCTTACACCTACTATCCATAAGTATGAACATGTAGGCTAAAAAGCTTGCGACACGGAACAAGCTCTCAAAGGAAATCAAAAGATGGTGCGTGTGGAACCGTTGGAAAACAGGTGCAACCACTATTAATTAAGTTTTTCAAGTGTTCCATCATCCACGCTTACACTAGACACTATTACATCAACTCTGAACCGAATAAGGTCAATCAACCAAAAGCTACTTTAGTCCCAATAATATGAATGAACCACACTTCAATCTTCTGGAAGCAATATTCTATTCCCTCTTTGATTTCGAGAGAGCCTTCTTCCTTTGGCTAAGCATGTACCTGTACATGTGGGGAGAACCTGCAACCATAAGAAGCAGAAGAAGAAAAAAACCGAATCAGGTCATATCTAAACGTAATACTTAACTACCAATCAAATATGAACAAGGTCACAGATCAACAATGTCATGCCTGGGACGTAGATTCCAAGAGCAATGAAAGCGATGTAGAAGTTGTCAAAGGAGAAGTTCCATTTGTTGGGCATCCTTATGCAGAATTTTTCAGACACCTGCCAAAAAAACACCAGCAAGCTTTTATCTAAGCATTTATTCAGGAAGCCTAACTGCAGTGTTCTTACTTCACAAAAGTCAGCCATTTAATTTGTGCAAGACCCAAAGAGATTCAACATGAGAATTGGTTAACCTTTATGTGAGGCAAGGCAAGATAAATGAGACCAACTTCACTGCTGATACCAATGGGATACATCACCAAAAAAGTGCTGTACCTGCACACAGCAAAAAAAGCAGATCAAAATAAGCCTCCACTACCTTCCGGTTTCCAATTAATAGGAATCCAATAATACACAGATTTAGTTAACCTGAGCCACAAAAGAAATGAAGGTGTTGCACCAAAGGCTTCCTTCATGCCGAAGAATGAATATCGAATAATCTGCAATGGCAAGAAAATGAACCTCGGATGATGGGTAGAAGGACCTTATAGACAGAGAAATCAAGAAGCATGATGCAAGGGAGAATGTATGCGACCAGCTGCATAAACAGATCATAATATCCTAACAGTACAACATGATCCTTGATGGTCTCCTCTACGTTCAAGCTTAGGATTGTTTTCAAACAACCATACTGACAGATTAAGTGATGAATGAGATAACACTTAAAGCACAGAGAACCTCAGTGAACAATGAGAGAAAAATAGGCTTCCTGAGAGTGCTGGATTTGCAATGCCAAAACCAGTAAATTCCGGAATGAGTGTCCATTTGGTACAGGAACAAGTAGAGGCATAAAGATTGACCAATAATGACATGTAAAAATAATGAACCTGAAGAACTCAACCTCCAAGCAGAAGAATTACCTCGGTGATCGACCAACTAATAGTCAAACTACTAACGAGGAAGTGCGTCTGAACCTACCAACAGATCAAGAACACAGACCCGTTATTAGTTCAAAATACCTGTCTTTTGACAGACTGGGATCATATCCTTCAGACTCCAAGAGCAAAGTGACATGAGATATTCGACTATATACCTCGGGGAAACTATGCAAAATGATCCATGTAAGATACAATCGCGAGCTAATCTGTGGGAGTGTTGCCGTTATGGGAGACCGAACCAAACCTTTTTATAATCACCACCAAACAAAAGTCAATTCTGAATCTTTGCATCAAAAGTTCTTCAAAAAATTGGCTAAGAGGGAATACTAGGAAGAAAGGACTCACCCACTAAACTATGGAGAATCTGTTACAGAGGCAACACAAATTCAACAAACCACAAAAAGACAGACAGTATTCAGCAATCCTCATATGCAATGTGAAAATAGCATAAATGAAAAGAGAGAGCAGCATCATTGATCCTATATTGGGGAACTCCTAGTTCAAAAGCAACGGTCTTCTAAAAATTTAGAAAAAGCCCATTAGGATAGAAGTGAGAAAAGAGTGGTAAGACCTCCAAAATAGCAGCAGTTTGAGCGAGCTGGAGTGGCTTCTCAACTGCACTGTACACATGTTCATGACCCGATTCCTTCAAGGTCTTCACAGCTAAGAACAACACCTGTGCCCTGTGAACTCGAAAGATGAAATAATTACGAAAAATAAAACATCCCCACTAGTGAGAAAGAAGAAAGAAGCTGAGGGGAAGCGAAGGAAGTTACCATCCAATGAAGACGGCCCAGTTATAGACGGCGAGATATGTTCGCCTCAGCATAGAGAGAAATCCCGCCATTGACAAACAGAAATCGTGCCTCCAAATAAGCTCAGATTTGAAAGAAGCTGGCTGCGGCCCAGGAAGTGATTTATAGCGGAGACAGAAGAGAGCTCCTCGAACTAAAACCTAAACAGGGGGGAGCAAGCATGGTCTGCGGACTCTGCCAGTGCAAATGCAATGATGCGGATCCAGCTGAGTAAAAGGCGAAGAGGGAAAAATAAACAATGCAGGTGAGGATCTGGTTAGCAGCTCAACTAACCAATTTTTAAGGGCGTAAGAGAATAAATGTTGCCGTCCCCCGCCATATCATCGATGACATCCACCATTCATGATCCCATCCAACCAAACCCGAGTATATTTATTCGGCAGAATTCATGCTCATCATAGCTAACCTTCCTTTTCCAATCTTGTTCACCCGAATCGGACCGACCGATCAATGCGCATGTTGGGAGCTCTGAAATCTCTCTCTCATATGTCGAGAAAGAGGGAAGCCGATAGGCATGTTCCAAGGTTGTCAAATCGATTTATACAGGTAGGCCGATTTCACAAGTGGAATGGCTCTACTGATATATGCGTATGATATGCTGGTTATAACAAAATTTCTCAATACAAATCTAAATAACCTAATTTTAGATAATTTTTATAGAATGTAAATAAAAACAATTCAATTGAACACATTAATCTTTCCCCAAATTCAATTCTGGTTAGTAATTCCAATTCATCTTCTATTTCTCACAAATTATGAATTGGAAAAATTCTCCATTCTGTAACCCTAATTGAGCGAAATCCTCCACCATTACTCACTTTCCCTCAATGTCCCTCCTCATTATCCCCTCCACCTACCAAAAGTAATTTGATTGCTTCATCAAACATTGACACATCACATTCAATTAGAACCAGCATTCTCACTTCTGATATCTCCAGGTGTTGTCACCAAAAACTTTCCCTGATTGACAAAACGTCCCGCTACTGAAACTTGAAAAAGCTGCTTTCAAGTACTCGTCGCTTCGGTGAATCACTTGAACCCTGATACATTTTCGGTGCCATGGAGCTAGACTAGTGAACCATTAATTCAATTGCGCAAACCAAGCTCATTGCCTGAATTTAGGAGTGAAATAAACCGTTTGAACTAATCGAACCAGTGTTATCTCCTCACACAGCTTCTGATTCCATTTCTTCACCACCAGCAGCGGATTCGATGCCATCTTCCTTAGCTATAAAGAGAATCCTCTTTTTTCAGGACAAAAGATGCCCACCTCGCATGCATAGAAGGAATTAGTCTTGGCTAATATTAATTAGGGCAATCAGGTTAATCTCGAGCCTTAGGGCAATGTATTCAACCGACAATACAAATGTGATGCTTCCAGCTTGAAGTCGACTGAGGCACGGCAAAAAGTAAACCGAGGAAAATTGGCATAGCTAGTCGTTCGAATCCACAGGAAAAAGTCGTGACGGAAAGCAAACCTTATTCTGGACTGATCGCTGGTTGGATAGCGGTGTTAAATTAATAGATCATGTCCAGGGTGAATTATCGCAAGATCAACTGCAGCAAACAGTGGCGGGCTTAACCACGGAATCAGGTGAGTGGTCTTGGGCTCAATTCAGTCATCTAATTCCACATTATTTGATCTTGCAGGTGGCTGGGATGGCTACTCCAAACCCGCTTGCTGGTGAGGATCGCATTATATGGGGCATAGGCGACAAAGGCAAATTCACCTTACAATCGGCCTACAGACTTTTGGCTGAATTGGAAGATGGAGCAGCGGATCCTATTTGGAGGACTATATGGCGCTGGAAGGGTCCGAACAAGATAAAGCACTGAATGTGGCTCCTAGCGCAGAATAAATTGCTCACCAATGAAGAGAGACTCATAGACACATGGCAGCTTATAGCCAATGCTCCCAATGCAATCTGGCTGGCTGTGGAATCCGCGCTGCTTTTGATTTTGTACATGTTCGTTTAAATCAGATCTCGATTTCGGTACAACGAGAAGGAGTTTACTATGGTCAGTGCAGTGAGATTTGTGGAACTAATCATGCCTTTATGCGTGCGCCCGGAAACATAGGCCGACTGCTGAGCCCACTCTGGCTCAGCCGCACCACCCCGGGTGCGAGCCACCCGAGAAGCAAGCTATTACAGCGAGCGGCTGGAGCTGTAGGGAGCCAAGGAGCAAGGCAGTAGATAAGATAGAAGAAGGGGCCAGGCTCCCCGTAGAGCGGAGGAGACGGTTAGGATAACGAACTTGAAACGCGGAGCCCGAGCGGCCGGCGAGCGAGTGGTTAGTGGCCAATAGCGCCCTAGTTGATGGCATTCCTCTCTGCGGCTGGCACTCGAGGAACCACGGGGCACTCCATACAGAGCAAGCAAGTCTTAGGGATGAGACGCCCGCGCAAGGACCTAAATTCTCATTAGGAGGTCGAACCAAGGACCTATGGAAGTCGGGGCTACCCCGTCCCCATGGGCAACGCAATAGTGTCCTGAGGGAGGAGTTTAGAGGCCTTATAGTAGCACGGACTTCTTTTTCTTTCTAGGTCATGCGAAGGGGGCCAGTCCAAGATCGTACTGTTCCTCTACAAAGACAACAGACGCTCTCAACGGCTAGGCGCCACTATCTTTCTGAGTTATTCCAGCTTCTTCATGATTTCGTGCCGCGGTGAAAAAAAAAAAAAAAGAGGACCGTTTCAACGGAAGGAGAGGGACCTGCAACGGCAGAGACTACTGACCCTCTTCTTGTTTGTTCCTAGCCGTCTGTTACGAGTCTGGGAAGCCAGCCTGGAATCCTAAATATGAGGGATCCAATAGAGATAGAGAAGGGCTAAAGGGCTTCCGCTCGTTCCTCTCCCTTCGCCCTTCTCCCTTGGGATTCCCCCTCCGAGAACCGTAAAGACTTTTTGGAGAGCGCTCAAATGAGAGCGGTATGACATTCGCAGCGGTAACAGCCTCACAATCGGCAACCCTTCTCTTCTTCTCCACTCTTGCGTTCATCCACGGCGCCGAGTGTCGAATGCTGACCTTCTTTGCGCGCCTGCTTACCAAGTCGTGCGCCGATTTGTTCGTCACTAGGAGAAAGTGAGCAGGCAAAGCTCAGAGGAAAGAAGCGGAGAAAAATGACGACTGATGGGACGAATCCCACTTGGCCAAAACTGAACCTTTTTTTAACAACCTCAGACTATGGAAACGAGTAAACGGCACCGTAATATTAAGGAACCAAAAAATTACCCTTCTGGTTGAACTACTGGCATTTCAAGAATTGACCGATTTTGACCGAAACTGACCGGTTTTGACCATAGCATCATGCCAGTAGTACTCCAGCCGGTTTTATGACCGGTGTCGGTTGAACCTAATTCAACCGGCCGGCATAGTACGGCCATGACAACCATGGCATGTTCTCATTGATCAAATGGAAAAATTACACTGTTAATCACTTACAGATCTTACATATCACATATCCTAAATGTCCTAAAAGCATCAAATAAATAAACATTACATTAAAAGTTTCTAAACAATACAACATAAACATCTAAGTATTAATTTCTAATTCTTCTTGCAACACACCCCTCAAGCTGACGCGAAGATGTCCAATCTTGCCAGCTTGAGAATGAGTTCTAACACACTGAAACTGGGAAAGACTTGGTAAAATATCAGTCAGCTGGTTAGTAGAAGAAACATGTAAAACTTTGATAACACCAACTGAGATTTGATCACGTATGGCGTGACAATCAAATCTCAATATATTTCGTATGTCCATGGTTGACTTGGATTATCAGCCAGCCTTAGAGCTCACATGTTATGGGGGGGGGGGTGGTAGTATGAGTGGTTAAAGAGTCACGGTATGAAAAAATTGCAAGGGTAAAGTGGAGTTCTTAGCAAAGAAAAGACCCTGACGAAGACTACATTCAATATATCTCAAAATACGGTCAGTAGCCTACAAATGAACATCAGTTGGTGCATGATTGAATTAACTTAGTTGATAAACAACATAAGACATATATTGCCTAGTATTACACAAATAGAGCAGCCTACCAATAATGCATTTGAAGAGAGAAGGATCAGCAAGAGGTGTACCTTATTTTGCAGACAATTTTGGTCTTGGAACACAAGGTGTGTTTGTTGGTTCGGCACTGAAAAGGCCACAATTGGCCAATAAATTTAAATAACATTTGTATCGACATAAAGAAATACCATCAGTTGTCCTTGTTATCTCATAGACAAGAAAATACATCAAATTATCATGGGTCTTTACTCGTTAAAGCATCATCTGGTTGTTGCTTAATAGAAGAAATAGTTGTGAGATCATTATCAGAAAGGATAATTTCATCTATATACACAGGCGCTATTGTAAAGGGAGTACCAGATTTCCTAACAAAGAGAGAATAATAGGCTTTTGATTGAATATAACAATCAACATTTAAGAAAGAAGTAAGTTTATGATTCAATCGCCTACTAGCTTGTTTCAAACCATATAAGGACTTACTTAATTGATTGTTTTGAAATTTGTAAAGGTCGAAGCGCACTCACGTCAATCCTAAGAAAACCAAGTATAACTATACTAGGGATGTAGTATAGTGGTTTGGTCATATTCCAATGGAACCTTAGGCTTACTATTACTTTGCTCCAAACTACTATCTAATCAACTTAGAAGGTTAGGGGTAGAACTAACCTAACCTAAAAACCTAAACACAACCAACCAAGTGGTTGGGAGACTGCTAGAGATGAGATGGTTGGATAGGGTCTCGAGGTGCGGAGGTCATGAAGGTAGGGATCGACTCAATGGTCATGCAATCAATCCCTCTCCTAGCTAGGATATTCGGTCCAATGTCACCTCAACTGGGTTACCAAGTTAGGGATATATCCTACCTCCTCTAAATGTCTTAAATTCGTTCGCATACAAGTAGGGTAGCCAATTGTCATGCACCTAACCTACTAGCATCAACTAGGTGAGGATCTAACTAGAAGGGGATGTCACCACAACCTCTAGCTAGCCCTCTAGGTTAACTAATCAAGGTAAGATGCATTCACACACATCTAACCCTAATTAGAAATATTAAGCACCCTAGTCAAACTCAAATATACCATAAACTCATGTGTAAGGTAATGATAATTCCCCTATTATCTAGGTTGCAACTAAGACAAATGGGATATAGACAATCTAACACTAATTGATGTCTAAAGCATTCTTACCCTAAGGAAATAGAACTCTCACATACGTTAAGAACAAATCAATGACAATTAAGCAAGATATTTATGCACAAACATCAAATAGCCATAGATTATAGGTTCATAATAAATCATAACCATGACCTTAAACAAAATATAACCTAGGGTACATCTTCCTTAAACAACCATAAGGATTCAAGTCATAGAGAGAGGAAGAAAATACAAATTAAGAAAAGGGGAAGAGCTGGAAATCATATTCTTCTCCTTGGATTGCACCTTCTCCTTTCTCCTTTAGTGGGTTGGATCTTCTTCTAAGCTTTACCAAGGTGTTTCTCTCTCTAAAACTGCCCAAAAGCCCTAATTTTCTCTCTCAAAATTGGCTCTCCCTTCTTCCTCCGATAGCTCCTCTATTTATAGCCCTTCAGCTTCACCATTTAGTCTGGGCAGAGCGAGAGACCACGTCTGGGTTCGCGCCTTCGAACTTTATCTCGTGACCATGATCTTTATCGCCGCTTTGTCTAACGGGGCCTACGATATGCCTAGCAAAACTTTATGTTCTCTATTTGGCACCTCGTGCTAAAGTTCACGCCTAAGAGGCCTAAGATAACAGTCGTGATCTTCCTTCTTAAGCTCGCGATTTTGAGGTCAACTTCGCTGCTTGTGATTCTCGGTCGTGATCCTGCTCCTTTGATTGCAAACTTGGTGTTTGCTTCTTTTCCCCCCTAAATATTAGCACTATTTTCTCCCATTTTTCGCTTGTAATGTTAAACGCGACCTAAAATGACATGATATAACAAAAGGAAGTGATCTAGGCTATAAATGACATTATATAGATCTAATCATGCTCAAAATGACATAAAACACCTAATAAATGGAGTCTAAATAACACATTTTTTAGTGTTATCAACTCCCCCACGTCACGGTTTTCTTGTTTACTTCATGGTCTACTGCCTGTGACAATTGCTCCAAAACTGTGATACTCGCACTTTTGTCTATTTTGCTCCATTTTCACCCTCTTTTGTCCGACTTTTGATCTCGGTGCCAATTCTACCGGCTAAAGTCCGAAACATGCCAAAAGAAGACCAAAACTAGCGCAAAATAGCTCCAAGGATGGTGCAAACCAAGTCAAACGACACAAATTAATGAGTATAAAAGTATATAATCTATCCCGAATCAAAATGAAATACAATACTTGTATTTGAGCAGAAGATGGGACCACATGAATCCTTCATTATAGATGATTGTTGATCATAGCTACAAACTGAGATTGTCAATCTTTCATTGTTTCTTCCTCATTTTTTAGGGACAACCAAAATCAATCAATCTCCAAATAATGTATGTTTCAAATTCATACATTGAAATAATTCATTTAATTAAGGCAAAATACACATGTATATCCACAACTATCAGATTTGTGACAAATATATCCACAACTATCAAAATACACGAAATGTCCAATTCCGTCCAATATTCTGACGATGTCAATTAACAGTCTGACTGTACTGACGGAATGAGCTGAGTTGCCTATGTTTTGTTCCCACCAATCTATGTGGATTAACAAAAATAAAAAATCTTATCCCTCTCAACCTCCTCTCTCTCTCGTTGCCCTCCTCCCACCCTCATCGCCGCTGAAGGTTATTGTGCTCCCATCTCATCCTCTTATTCATTTCCCACCACCGCTCACCGTTGCAGATCCAGTTCCCCAGAGCGTAGTTTCTCTCGTCGCCGCTCAACTGCCATTTTGATTCTTGTAGTGAAATCGACAGATCCCGTCGCAAAATAATGGTGATTGTAAATCCATAATTCACACGAACCAGGGAGCAGGGGCGACGTCGTTGAAGGGATCTATTCACACGAAGCAGGGAGCAAGGGCGACGTCGTTGAATCGACGAGCTTTGATGACTGGCCGTCAATGGTGAGACAGGGAATATGGTGGCAAGATGCAGCGACACTATGATAACGACGTGTTCATGAGATCTGGCTGCACGGAGATGCGCGCGAGCTTCGATGGCTGGACGACGACCCAACAACGGCAAATGCATCGATGGTGGCGCATCGCTTACATTTTTTTCTTCTTCTTTGGATGCAGTGGGAGTTGGCAGAGATGAATCGATGGCGGAGGGCGGCCGGGGGGGGGGGGGGGGTGGGTTTGGAAAAGCGGTGGAAGAGGGAGGAGGGGCGGAGATGGGACGAAGTTGAGGGGGTGGGTGGAATGGTCGTGGAAGAGGGAGGAGGGGTGGAGGTGGGTGGAATGGCAGTGGAAGAGGGATGAGGGGCGGAGGTGGGAGGAAGGGGAAGGGTCTGCGGCAGAGAAACAATTTTTTTATTTTTCATTAATTTTTATCAGCAAATATTTATAAGTAAATATGACGTGTCACTTGGTGTTGACTTGTCGATGATGGATGCGCTGAATTGACGTCCTAATCAGCGTATTGCTAACAGATCTGACGGCGTCACTAACACCGTTATAGTTTCAGACGGAAGTGGATAGATTTGTCACACAACCTTCCGATTTTTGGATATTTCGTGTATTTTTATAGTTGTGGATATATTTGTCACAAACGTGATAGTTGTGGATATACAACTGTATTTTGCCTTTAATTAAAACACATAAATTGATTACATGCACAAATTTAAAGAATAATAACTATGAAACATGGGTGAATTATTGACTATTATTTTGTATGTATTTCCATAGGTATGGATATTATTGTAGAAAAAAAAATTAGCTAATAAAATATATTTACTCGATAAATAAAATTCAAACCACGTCAACTAATCGAATGAGAAGCAGCTGCGTTGCATTCCTGGATCGTATCCGTCATCGTTCCCATTTGCAACGGACAGGCGGAACAAGAATCACTTTTCCAGCAATTCCCGATCTGGGGAATTAAAACCTTGGGCGGATCTCCTCTCGCAATCGCCGTCGGAAGCCGTCACCTTTCTCCTCCCAACTTCTCTTTCAGACCAAAAAGGGATCGCCTTCTCTGTTTTCTCAGAATTTGTCACCTCCAATTTCCTTTTTGCGTAATTTCGCTCGATCTCTCTTTCTCTTTCCCTTTCCTATGGCGGCCAGTTCCAGCCGAGGAGGCCCCTTCCACGGCGGCGCTGCTCCATTTCGTTCGAGGTTCGTTCCCCTCTTTCGGTCGTCCTTATTTTCTGTATCTTTGTTTTTAGTTAGTCGATCGATTGTCAGAATCGATGGTGAATATCTGTTCAATTTTGAAATGGTACTCAGGGATGGACTTAGTACAAGGCAGGCCGCGAGCTCGGACGAAATACAGCTGCGGATTGATCCGATGAGCGCCGATTTCGACGATGAGATAACCGGTCTCCGTTCTCAAGTCAGGCAGCTAAGAAATGTAAGATGTTGTTCCTGCAATTCAATTATATCCTGGGTGAAAGAGGGAATTGATCCAGTTCCATATGTTACCTTACCCAATAGATGATTTTTAGCGTTAGATTGGGTGAAACATCGCTCGAGGCTGTTTGTGATGTGATTTATGAAGCAGATTGAATATCAGTCTAGCTTGAATTTCTGCCGCGCATAAATTTTCACGAGACACTTGTTTGGAAGGCTGTAAAATGAATACATTCTGTTTGCCAGAGCAGTATAAGTGTCTTCACTAGCGGATAGTTCTCGTGTTTGAACCCCGTTACTGATGGTTGCTTAAGCATAAAGCATATTGTTAGTTTTCGCTTTAAATCCCAAGCTTGATGGATTGAATACCATAACCTGAGTTTTTCAAGATAGAAATTTTAGCTCATCAAGCTTGTGCAATGAGAAGGTGATATCTGCTTATTCTTTTCCATGGTATAAAGTTGTCATTTTGGCTGCTGATCCGTGTTTAGTTGTGTTTGTCTGGTCATGTTTCTCATTTTTCAGTTGTACATATGGTGCAGGTGGCTCAAGATATCGGGACAGAAGCAAAATTTCAAAAGGATTTTCTAGATCAGTTGGTATGTTATTAAGTTTTGCTTAAACATGGATTGTCTTATTGCCCGTCTTCGTTTTTCCTCCCTTTGGTTCTTGTTAAATGATCCTTGATTATGCTTTTTGGTGATTGACAAGCTCTGTTCATTGCTTCATTTTTTTCACATCGGTTCTTTGTTTTCTGGTCTAACTATGAAGTCTTAACCTTCTCAAAATGGATTAGGTCAAGAATCCGATTCAAACTGGTTTGGTTATAGACTTCATCTGTGTGCTTGTGCTTCCACAATTTCTCTCTTTCCACCTAAAATATATCAACATTCTAATACATGGTGGTAATGATCATATAATCATTCCAAAGTCAGTTGGCCTTAAAACAAGCATTATATATCTCAAACATATCATGTAATAATCGCATTAAGCACACAAAATCCATATGTTTTCGACAATTATCACCTTCAATGCTTTAAGTTTAAATTAGACTTGTGAGCAATATAAGTTTTTCATTTGTAATAACAAGGGAATGCTAAATGTTCTAGAGTAATTTAAGAAGATGGAACCACATAACTGTTTACTGGCTTTTATATGTGAGAAACGTTGGCAATACACTAGCCCTCGTTCTTTACAGTCCTGGGAATTCATCTACTTGCTTCTACTCTGTTTCTTGTATGGTGAACAAAACCCTTTCTGTTTCGGGTTCCTAGAAGCTAGATTAGTTAGTTCTGACTTCTTAATGAGTCAGGATGCATTAACAAGGTTGAGCAGCAATAGAAGCAGGCCCTTTGTTTGAGGTGTAAGGATGAGCAGCACAAATATTTGTGAAAAGTAGGCTGCTATTGTATCTCTGAGATTTTATTTGAAACAACTTCCTAGTTTTCTGCACAAATTATATATTCTTGCTTGTAATAGATGCAGCAAGCAACCCCACCTTATGGCATTACCGATTGATTGAACAGCAAATGACGTTGATCAAAGCTCAAGCAAGCGTGAAGAACAACATAAGGAAGTTGAACAAGAGCATCATCAAGAATGGTTCAAATCATATAGTCCACGTTGTCTTGTTTGCACTCCTCTGCTTCTTCATCCTCTACCTTTGGACAAAAGTTTCCAGAAGATAGACATAGACTTCTCTTCACCACACAGACGAAACCCCTCGTCATCACAGTGTTCTACTTAGGAAGCTAAGCCCCAGAGCTGTACTACTTTTTTTTTCTTTCATTTTGACAACATACAACATATTCTGTAAATAAAACAAGAGATAAATTCAGCATGTGCATGCATTTGAGTTGGCCTTTATTTTCATCCTCTTGCCATGTTCTTCTACCTTTGCATCTCTCAATTGAGAATCCTTCTCGCCAAAATATGTTTCGTTGTGGACCACTTGGCCATCTTTGTGGAAGAAGCACTCCAGCTCATTATCAGGAGGAGGGCATTTGATTAGCCATCCAATGAAACACATACTATCATATCCCAGTCAGCAGGCTCAACCCATCCCTTGGGAAAGAACTCCATCACGCTGCTGCCTCTGTCCGTGAACAGCATGTTCGCCAGCTGAGCTCATGTGGCGTAGCCACGATGTCTGTCTCCGTCACTGTCTTCACTTTCAAAAAGAAAAAGAACCAGATGAGGAATACTTCAATTGAGAAACACCGTCAATGACCTCATTAACCAGGTATCGCATTCCATGGCGGTTTTGGAGGAACGTGATGGAGTCTCGAAGCTTTGAAGTTAAATCATCGTTCGTGGAAGAGGGTATGGGTTGCCATTTTCTGAATAGGTTAGAGGGAGAAGCAGGAGAAGTAAGAGAACGAGGGTGCTTGAGATGATTCTAATGGAGGGAAGATGGGATGAGAGCTTGCTTTTGCTTTGGTGAACATTTTGGAGATTGCTTTTGTTTCATTCATGGTATGTCTTGTCGGACTTTGGAACAGGGAGTTAAGCTATTCTTGTTTTGTTTAAGTAGTCATTCTCGAGAATGAAGATTGAGATTAAATACGAGTAGACAAATTTGGATCAGCAGGTGATTGTCAACTCCACAATAAAGACAGCAAACATGATCGCATAATGTATAGGTCGTTGTGTAGAAGACAGACAAACTAGAATAAAAAGGCTTTATTAGCAATCTTCTATATACAAAATTCTGTACAAAATTCAGCTAAGTAGTCACTAGTTATTATTAAGTGAGATTGTCAATTACACGAATAGGAATATAAAGAGAATCATCTTCACAGAGAGACTTGTTATCGAGGGAGAAGGCGCCACCACCATATACCGACCATCACCTGGTTGTTTATGCCAACTTTATAAACCACCATCTTTGTCGCCCACTGAGAACTAACTGCAACTAGGGCTCCCCTTTATTCTTGTCTGTCATATTTTGTGAATCCCCAGCTCGAAAAAATGACAGCGGAGATAATCAAGTTAGCCATGTCTGTCAGTCGGTATCAGCAGAAGATCAGAAAGCTCTACACAGAGTGCTGACAGAAATGTTAGCTGAACATTGCTCCTCTATTGGGCTTGTCGGGCTACACAGTCTGCTTCTTTTTGGCTCTGAGATCTTAACATGAGAAATCGCCACAGCAAGTGCATCCACAAATTCACATTCTTCATCCTCTTCTGACTTGCAGGTTGAACTATCTAAAACTGTATGGTTCCGGGACCTCTCGATAAGAGAGCTGCCTCCTACAGCCTGACTTCTACCCAACTCTGATGCATGTGAAGTGGTCGCTTGGCCCGAAGTTGGTTGGCCCGGATTCCGTAGTTTTGACTTGAAGGACAGGGATCTCAATGTGCGCTCCGTGTAGAACAATATCCATGGATGCCCTGGAAATAAGAAGCAGCTCAGTTTGTCAGTTTAGTATGTGTGTGCGTATGTTTCCATGTGTTTGCAGATTGATACTATTCAGTAAAATTTTACAAAAAATTTGTTAAAAAGGTTAAGAAAGAGAAGAAGCGGGATCCACTTTGCAACAGCGGGTTTCAAATACTTTCTACTCAGCGATAAAAGAGATGGGGCAAGTTAGGTCCCAAAAGCAAAGACATGCAAAACTGGGTAGTAACTGCTGTACCAAACGTGTCTAGAAACTTAGACGAATAGCAAACATGCTTCATATTCCAAGAGTACATGTTAATAAAAGCTTACTCAGTGCTTCATCTGCAGTTATCCGCGCTGAAACATCCCTAGTCAACATTCTTGCAAGCAAGTCACGTGCAGGTTTCGAGACCGAATCCCATATACCTGACTGGAAATCAAGCTTCACAGTTTTGATAGCCTCAAAGACAGAATCTAAGGAGTCACCTTGAAATGGAAGAGCACCAGCCAAAAGCGCGTGTAGTAAGACACCAGCACTCCATATATCAACCTTCTCAGAATAATTTCCTTGCAGAACTTCAGGTGCAACATATGCCGGACTTCCAGCCAAACCAGATAATGTCTGGCCTGCATATCAAACAAGATTAAAGAAGTTTCAGGAGATCTGATCCCTTGAACAATGGTACTCTAACATTGCCTATACCATCCATAAAAATAACAATAAGGAGATAAGAACCAGTTGTTTCTAAGGGGTTGCAAAACAAGCACCACTGATTGAACCACCAAAAGATGCACATGAACAGGGGTCCTGTAAAACAATAGCTAACAGCCCATCCTAGTTCCACTTTGTTCTTTTTTTCCTGATGTAGCATGCCTTTATAACAAGTAACTATAGAATACATAGACTGTACACCATCAAATGTGGTTACCAAGAGATTGGGTTATCATTAGAACGGAACAGCAATGTAAATGGAGGGGTGAGCCAGGGCCTAGGATCAGGCTGAAAGGCATAGTCGATGGACAACATGAGAATATTCCAGTACTACCCCTTCTCGGTCCCGAGGGACGAAGGAGGCTAGGCTAACCGAAAGATGGTTATCGGTTCAAGATGCACGGTGTCCCTGCTTTTTCAGGGTAAGAAGGGGTAGAGAACATGCCTCCAGCCAATGCTCAAGTACCAGGCGCTACGCCGCTGAAGTAACCCAGATTTGAAAAGCAAAATACGTTCCAATAAACTAGCAGGTGCCTCTGACACTGTTATTTATCCCTTCTATTTTTGCTTTTTCTTTTGTTCCAAGCATGACAATGAGCAGTGAGGGTTAGGGGTCGGGAAGTGGAGGCTGTGGGTCGACGTTTCTCTATTCTGCCTCATTGATATTCTAAATAATGCAGCCAACACATTGTGGCCTCATAAACAATAGTATGCAAATTCAACACATCAATAAAAAGAGGTAGACCTAACAGCATCTTCAACACATCAATAAAAAGAGGTAGACCTAACAGCATCTTGTTCTACAACAGCTCCTCTGATTTCTAATGGTCACCAGCAACAATAATTATAGAAGCATATCTATCACTTCGACAGAATCACACAAATGAAAAATTGTTTTTCTTGATCTCAAGGAACCATTAAATATACTAACCACACAAACAAATTGAGGCGGATACCCACCATTTGAAACCCTCATGGCCAGGCCAAAATCTGCCAGTTTTATCTTTCCGGACGTAGCAAGAAGAATATTCTCAGGCTTAATATCTCTGTGGACAACCCCCATCTCATGGCAATACTTGATTACTAACATCACATCCTTGAATATATTAGCAGCTCGTTGCTCAGAGTACTGGCCCTCCTTCACCATCTGATCGATCAATCGCCCCCCAGAGCAGAATTCCATCAGCAGATGAAAACATTCCGACTCCTCGTACACAGCATGCAAGGTCACAACCCCAGGATGTCCAGATAAGTGTTGCATTATCTCCACCTCCCTATGAACGGTCTCCTCCCCCTTCTTTAAGGTCTTACAAGCAAACTCCTCTCCAGATGCCCTTGATGTACACAAAGAAACCGACCCAAACTTGCCACGCCCCAGTGTGGCACCAAAAACATAGTCATCCTCAATCTTATTCTTTCTACCAGTCTGAGTTGCAACTTCTATACACCCTATCTTTCTCTTAAGGCCCCTTCCAGGTGACACCAAGGACGATGAAGCGCCACAAGGTGGTGCAGTAGCCACACCTGCAAGTCTACTTTTGAATGAATTGACGGGTTCATCACCTGCACCTTCTTTACACCTCTTGTTTATCCTATTGTAATCCTCTAATGAGTAATAGGACGTCAAATTAGATGCCTTAGTACCGTCATGATCCCTGGGCGGTGTACTTCTACCTTGTATATCCTCACAGGCATCACTTTCGCTCCCTTTCCGTTTCCTCCTCATCAAATCAGATTGGCGGATAAGAAATACCAAGGAAATATTTACTAGCACATCTGAAGAAGCTTGGAAACAGGAAATCCTTGAACTAAAGACTTCTGGGTTCAAATCCTAGAGCAGAAAGCCTGCAAAATGTCCATTCAAGCTCCCACTCAATGATGGTTTGATTGCATATAATAGGAAACAGAAAACTAACACAAATTACAGCACACCCATGACCCAATTTCCTTCAATCCCATCACAACAATAGCGACAAAGTCATCCCACATTCACCAAACAGATGGCTAGAACCCTAAATCACGAACCATCCAGGACTCAAACACACATACCCAAACCAAAACAATAAAGGAAGCAGAAAAAGGCGCAGCGAGAACAAACCTCCCTCCGAATCGGGGAGATCAGACCGCTCCGTCCGACGCCCACGAACCAGCGGGAACAGAAAATTGAACCGCAATCGAATCCCCTCCCCCCGCGATCTGCCAGCGGGGAAAACGCCAGACGAATCTCAACCCGATACTGTTTGAAGGAGCTCGAAGAGAAACCCCAAACAGCCAAATCTCCGGATCAGAAGCGCGAGAAAAGTTCCCCGCCGACTATTAGAGGAGGAAAAGGAGACGGAGATAGTATACCAATCTTTTTTTCTTTTACATTGGAACAGAGAGAAACGGGGAGAAATTGGAGGAGAGGAAGAAAGGTGTAGCGGAGATCGTGTAACAATGGTTCACGTTTTATCTCTTCTGACCGACGTGTCGGGTTGCGGTTTATATCGGGCATACCAAAAAAACTTTCCGGATCCATGTCCGGTATCCGGGTCCGAGGACTGGGAAGTTAGTTGATACGTGTTGGGATCTGATCCGTCCAGAGAAAAGACTTTGGGGATCTGTGAAGTCAATAATACTTTGACTTGACTTGAGCTTACGATTGGTTGGCCCTTGGCGACGCGACAGTCCGTTGCGTGATTTGTATGACGCATTGACGTGACACCTTGTATATGTGATTTTTCATTCTTTGCACGAAAAATTCTCAAAATACTTTTTTCTCGGTAATTATGTCAAAAATATTGTTTTTTAACAAACGAAATTGATAAAAATATATTAGTATAGCCAAATTTTTTATTGAGTAAATTTATTTCAAATTATTTTTTGTAGTCACTTTCATTAAACCTGGCAAATTATAATCAGACCCGACCCAAAACCGCGCAAAAAGTAGAAATTTTTTATGACCCGAACCAGATAATCCATGATTTTTTTGATCGAGTTGGGTGGGTTAGCGGGTCGACTCGTTCCATTTTATATATCACTCCCAAAAATGATAAAATCACTTATAAATTGACGAGCTGTTAAAAAAACACAAGGATTTTAATGATATGTTTGGAGTTTAAGGATAATCAAATATCATGTGTTTCTTCTAGTAGTATTTGTCTTATGATTGTTATTGACGATTTGCGCAATTTGTATTTCATTTCATTAGCATGGGAGGATTTGAGAATATGTTAATTGACATGTGTTAGGTAAACTATTGTCATGCATATGTGAAAATTTGTGTTCTTCGAGAAAAAATGAAGTATGTTTGATATTGTTTCTGAGAGCGCTCATAACCCGAAACGACATGTAACCAGACCCGAAACCGAATGGGTTGGGTCAACATTTGACCCGAAAATAAGCCAACCAAACATGACTCGACCCGTAACCGAAGTATCCAAACCAAAATTACCCAACTCGATCTGATTGCCAGGTCTAACTTTCATTATTAAGCTTAGAGGAAGGATTGAGTGTGCCTACTCACTTGGGTATTGTGAATCCTAGTCTCTCTATGTGTTAGGATGTAAGAACATGAACCTTTTGTGTTGATTGAGAGTTTTATATAATATTTGTTGTATTATTCATGAATGATTGAGTGTGCTAGGTTTAACTTAATATTGGGTGAAATTAACCTAGAGGGTGGAAATCCCCTTTTGGTCCAATAGGGAGCTAGACGGCTTGGGATACAGTGAGTAACCACTGGTTACTGATCTGTAAGTAACTCACCCGGAGCCGTTGATCTAGGACGGAGCGATCATGTGGCTGGGATTGATGCGGGGTGATGAGGGGTATTTCTGTCCGCATTTTGAATTTTTAATTGTTTCCTTTTTTTAATTTGTTCAACATTTATTAGTTTGCTTTGCATGGAGGAGAGAGAGTTAGTGTGTTATCTCTGCAACTCTCTTTTCCTCTTTTTTTGTTCCTTTCTCTCTCTCATTCTCCTTATTCTCTAGATCTAATCTCTTATTTTGTTCTTCATTTTTCTCTCTAGCAATCTCCTCTTTCTTTGTTCCTTTCTCTCTGCCAATCTCTTTCTTCTCTAGATCTAATCTCTTTGCAGCTGCTTCTTCCTTATGTTCTTTCTTTTCTCGGCCTCAAAATAGATGAAGTTCCATATTGACAAAGAGGGGACGGATCTATGTGAGTTAAGTTTGCATGTTTTATATTTTAGTATTTGTTTGTGAATTTTCAATTCCGATCTTCCTCCTCTTTTTTGTTGTTGCATTTGGTGTTCTTGATTGCAGAGGAGAAATGAGAGGAGACAGAAGACGAGTTTTTTTTTGTCTCTCCCTCCTTCTGTTTTCTTCCTTGTAGGTAATATGTATTGGTATTACCACACTATACCATATGGTAATGTGTGATAACTAAATGTATCTTTATGGTCACGAGTTTTATCATGGTGGTAGTGGGTGGTAATCGACTCCAGTTCTGAGAAAAAAGAGTTAGAAGACAATGAAGCTGGAGAAGAAAGTGAAGAGAGTCGTAATTGTATATATATATATACCGAGATTACCACACTATACCATATGGTAATGTGTATATACCATATGGTAATTTGTATATACCATATGGTAATGTGTATATACCATATGGTAATGTGTATATACCACACTATACCATATGGTAATTTGTAATGTGTATATACCACACTATACCATATGGTAATTTGTATATACCATATGGTAATGTGTATATACCATATGGTAATGTGTCTATACCATATGGTAAAGTGTGGTAACGAAATGTATTTTTATGGATATCGTGTTTTACTATGGTCGTAAAGGATTGTAATTAGATTTATATTATTTTTGTATTGTTTTACCTTCTCATACCATGTGGTATTGTATGGTAATTACAATTAATTTGTGTTCATTCGATTAACCATGTTCTACTATGGTGGTATTGTATGGTAGTTAGATTTACCATATGTTGATATTACCACAATATACCATATGGTATTGGGTGGTAACGAAATATATATTGATATTACCACACTATACCATATGGTATTGGGTGGTAACGAAATATATATTGATATTACCACACTATACCATATGGTATTGGGTGGTAACGTAATATATATTGATGTGCCAAATTTTTTCATACCATATGGTATGGTCAATACCAGTCATTACCATATGGTAATGACTGGTAATAACTGACAAATTTTTTTATGTCTGAAAAATATCAAAGTGGATATCATTTTGAAGAGCACAATTAATCTGATCTAACTGTGCAAAAAAAATTAAATTCCGACTTAAAACGAGTGAGAAATCGTCCGTTAAAGATTAAGAGAAGGAAAATTAAAGGTTGTTTGAGGAGAGAGAAGGCGCTGATGTGATCTGGTCAGCGTCAGCGCGTCAGCGCGTCAGAGACATCATTAAATAGGGGGTGCAATTTTACCTTAGTGCCCCTCCGTATTTTTTTTTAAATAAAAAAAAAGCTGACACGTGGGGGCCAGGGGAAGGGGTTACTGATGGTTACTGATGGGATGGTTACTGAGGTGATCCGGACCCGAGCTAGACTCCTTAGCCACTTGGGTAACCTCCTTTAGGTCAATTTAAGACCAAAATCTCAAATATCGGAGTAGGGCCGTGATTCCACCGAGATAGGTCTTTCCGCCGACCTGATTAAGTTCCGAGGGTTTGGTTTGCAATCCTTAGCCGGCTAGTTGAGAGGGTTAGGTTCCCTAGCCTATCATTGTCACCCTTAGCCGAAAGGTTAAGTGAGTTAGCTTCCTAACTTGTTGCAACGACTCTCAATTAGCTAACTAAGAGAGAGTTAGGGATCTCATTGGTTGATCGATAAAGAGGGCTAGACTCTCTAGCTATGAATCACAATCCCTAACCTAACAGTTAAGAGAGTTAGTTCCCCTAGCTTATATTTGTTGATTTTCCTTCATTGATCGACTAAGGGAGTTTGTCCCTAGCTAGTTGCGCTCACCTAGCGGTGTATGAACACGTCCTTCACACTAGAGCTTTGTTCGTCGCTTCTTAGCATGAGGCTAGGGGGAGCAATACCCGGGTGAAGTTCTCTCAAGTAGAATTCTCCTCGATTTACTTTCTTTGTTCCCTCACTTTGTAGTTTCCTTAGTCTTAAACCCAAAAACCGTTTTGCTAGATAACAACTTAAGCGATTGAAGTAGGGGTACATGGTCTAGCCCGGATTTGACAATTAAATACTATCCCTATACTGCACCCGACTAGAGTTTAAAAACTTGGGCTCTAGTCGGGATTAATTCGCGGTGTTGTTCCGAGCGAGTCACGTTTGCTGCAACCGAGCTCCAAAAGGGGTGGTTTTACGCGAGTTTTCTTGTGTTTCAATGTGTTTCGGATCCTAACATGTGAAACCAACCCCGGAGTCGAAAGTTGGAAGAGAAGGAGCAAAGATCGGGCAAAGAGGAGGAGACAGTCTGTGTTCATGGTAGGGGTGAACAAATACACCCGCAAACCGACCCACCCATCCAAACCAACCCAACCCAACCCACCCGTATTTATCGCTAAAACGAAGGTTTTGGGTTGGGTGAGGGTTTTGTTTTGTGCAACCCGTCTCTTTTGGGTTGGGTTTGGATTTTGGATTACACAACCCGTAGAACCCGATCCAACCCATGTTCCAACTATTGGTATGAGTTCGTATCCAAAAAAGATTTATGTCGTATATAACCATACTTATGAGAAAATTAAGATATTTCGCCATGTATTTCTCTCATGGTCTCCCTAATCTAATGCATTCTTCGGCTTAAAGTTTAGACACAAATTTAATATAGCTATTATTCACGTAATCTTTTTTCTTGTGTACAATTTTAATAGAATAACATATTATGGATGCGTTCGTTTATAACTTTTTTAGCCTATTTTAACAAATGTCGTGAAAAAAACTAGACATATGTTGAAGTAAATCACATTTTATTAAAATTCAAATAACAATTGTGAATTTTGATACCTTTCACATAGGTTTATTCGTTTGAAATTTTAATTAGTTATAAAATATTTTTATGGTGTAGAATAATTTTATATTTTGTGTTGGGTTGGGTTTTTACTTAAAAATATCGCCAACCCAACCCAATTAGAAACAAACCGTAGGGTTTAAATTTTTTTGGGTGGTTTGGGTTTAATATTTCCCAAACCGTAGTGCATGGGTCGGGTGATTAAAATGGCTAAACCCGAACCACCCGACCCATGTGCACCCCTCCCTAGTTCACGGTCTGCCATTGGAGTTCACGGTCTCTAGGACCGTAAACTGGAACCACAATCTGTGAACCAAGGAGAGTTCAGAGAGGGTTTTGAGGTTACTTATGCCAAGGTTGTTAACAATCGCTAATACCATGAACAGAAGCCACAAACCGTGAACCCCAGGATGCGAAGTGGTGAATTTTGGTCTAGAAACTGTGTTCACAGACGCGTTTTGATGTTCACGGTTG